GCGCGGGGGGGAACTCGTATAGGGGAGATGGAAGACGACGATTACCAGTACGACAATGATGGTGGTTATGATGACGACGACGGATGGCGATCGGCAACGCGTGTGTTGAGCCACAGAAAAGATTCTCCGCCCAAAATGCCGTACACCAAAGCGCTCAGTGTCCCGGCATAGACAGGTAGAAGAAAAGCATAACGTTGCACCGAACTGTTCCGAACTAATCCATTCACTTCGTACGAGGTGCCCAAGTTCAAAGCAGAGAGGGTTGGGGGCACGGGGGTGGTGGAGGAGGGCGGGTGGGGGCCAGCAGCCGAGTGCATGTACACACAAACACAAGACATGCCGTACATGCCGTATATGCCGTACACCCCTTCCCCTTACACAGAAGCTATTTCCCTTCCATCCCCACAACGTAAATACACACGGATGCGCATCCCAACATTCCAACACACATACATTCCAACATACATACATACATCGGCACACCTGTCCATGAGGTATCTCATCTGGCTGAGGAGGGGCTGTGTGGACCACACACACCCCAACCGCGGCCACGTGGCGTTGCTCCGTACACACCGCTCCAGGGTGGACAGCAACACCGCGTGCTCGTAACCCAGGTCGAGCAGGGAACGGAACGTCTGGGAGAGAGAGATACACATACATACATACATACATACACAGGGGGGGGGAAGGTGGGGGAAAGGGGGGCAAAAAGAAAGGGGAGGCCCGGAGCAGGGGCTTAGAGACAGAGGCGGCGTGTATGCGACAGCTGACGGGGAGACACCTACTCGGGGGGGAAGTGGTGGATCTCGCTGTCGGATCTGATCCAGAGCCGGCGAAGGGAGGTGAGGGACAGTCGTACTCCCGGGTACTCCACCTGCCCCCTCACCCCCTCACTGCCCCAGGGGGCCCCCCTTCCCCCGGGATTTCCCCCCCCCCGGCCACCTGGTACGCAGGGTTTAACCGTGACTCAGTGAGCAGTACGACCTCCTTCTTGTACGACCTGGCCTCTAGACATGACTTCATGGCGGGTGAGGGCATCACGTCACCTGGGGCGGCCGGGGGGGCGGGAGAGGAGGTCAGGGGGGGGGCGGGCGTGACTGTCCATCAACATCAAGCAGACATCCGCGATCTCATCTGATCTCATCTGATAGGGCCCAACAGTGCCCAACGAACCAAAGTGATGTACCACACGTGTGCGCGTGTGTGTGGTGGCGGGGGGGGTGCGGGGGGGAATGAGAAGGGGCTTTAGAGCGAGAGGGAGAGAGAGAGAGACGAGTGTGAAAACACGAGTGACTTCCCCGTGGTGGTGGTTGGGAGGGAGGTTGGGAGGTAGGTTGGGACGGGGGAACCCAAGGTGGCAGTCGGGGCTTTGCGAGGGACGTGTGTGTGTATGGCCGGAGTGGGGTGCTGTGTAGATGTGTTGATGGCGGCCTCAGGTCGACAAGGGTGGGGTCAATGCCCCCCCCCATCCCATCAGCCGCGGAGCTCTAGTCTGCCTGCAGCCTAAGGGTTTGCAACAGCACTATGTGGTACGGCACCCAGCAACCCATCAGCCGCCCGGTCCATCCCCCTCTTCGCCTGCATGTCTTCCTCCCCAGTCTTGGCCCCGCTGGGACTGAGATCCCCAACCCCCCTTTAATGGGGGTGAAGCATGGTTGCCAGGGCTGAGGGGGATTACGGGTCCCCAAATCCCGGGGGGGGGGGAAGGAAGGTGGGGCAGAGGGGGGTTAGGAACCCCGGCCCGGGGGGGAGGGGGGATGAAGGAAGGAAAGGGGAAAGTGACAATACACCACGGGCCCAAGAGAGGTACGGAGGGAGTACCGGGGGATCCCTCACCGAAGAAGGGCTTCACCTTGCCCAGGCTGCACATCCCGGATTTTTCGCAGGCGAGCTTCGGTGCGGTGTGGATGGGCCTCGGCAGCTCATGCTCCACAAGGGTCCCCAAGGCAAGTTGGAGTAATGACAGCAGGAGCAGCGAAATACGCCAACTGCTATTGGGCGTGAATTGCTTGCAGAAGCAAGGGTAAGGGCTCATCCGTCGAAAACTTCTTCCCGTTGACTGTCCTGATACAGTACAAGGAGCCTTTGTTTGAGCTCGCTCAAAAGTTGTAGGTCCGCAACCCATTGACCATGGCTTTTAGAGGATGCAAGTTAACTTCCACTCGGAAGTATGTAATGTTACGGCTGCAGCTAACTTGAATATCATTACTTCACGTGAAAGATCTCAAGTATTAAGGAGACGCCAAGCGAATGGGGGCACACGCAAGAGATTTGAAAAGTTCCTGATGAATTTTGCAGCCCGTCTTGAGCACGTAAGGCCCGTGACAATCCAACAGGCTCGTCAACAAAATAATTGAAGTAAGATTAAAATTGGTCAGAAAACGGTGGAAGGAGGGTTGTGAAAGCCCGAAGCCAAAGTAGGAATGCTTAGGTGAATGCTTCCAAACCTGTGTCCCCATCCGAGATCATCTATGCACTCGATTATCAATCATGCTTAGTAAGAACAGTTTGATCCACAATTGCCATACATATTGTACGCCATCCGACCATTGCTTTACAACTGACTTTACTAATATTTGTTCTGGTTATCGGCATTCTTCGCCACGAAAACGTGCACACGCTTCCGTACTAGCTGTGCGACTTGATGACAAATGGTGGCTCTTGTCGTACAACATACTTGGCTGCAATGATGAATGGTGCACATGATTGATATTGGTAATGTTCAAAGTAGCAGTTTTGATTTCTTTTGGTGCAGATGGCAACCCTTCGCGCTCATCCGCTTCAGGCTTGTTCTGGAACCCGCATCACAGTCAGTCGTCGGGCCTGCGTCCGTGCCATGGCTGGTCGCATGATCCTTTACGATGTGCCAGTTAGCAACAACGGAGCTCGCAACCGTTACATTATCCGCAAGAAGGGCCTTGAGAACGAAATCGACATCGTTAGCCCGCAGACCATCGGCGGCCTAAAAAGCTCGCAATACCTTGCCCTTAACCCCCAGGGCAAAATGCCCCTTCTGATCCTACAGGATGGCACCCCTCTTCCGGAAAGCGAGGTGAGGTTCAACATATAGGAGCCAATCCGGTACAGGAATCTGATGAGTCTCGAACCAGCACAGGGACAGCACGTTCCAGTTCATAAAAAGTGAAGGACGCGAAATATCTCCCCCACACATTAACAATGTACATAATTATTTGTCCAACCTCCAACAGCCAAAGTCGCGGCCCGTTGCGGCCATGTTTCACATCTGGAGTAGATATCCCCTTCCTTCCTCACCTCCCAACTTCCCATTCCACCTCACCCAGCCCCCAGGCGCCCCCTCCGCAACCCCCCTGGGCCCCTATAAACAATAACCCGCACGGACTCCCCTTTTGCCCACTACTTTCCCCCCTTCTTCAACACCTCTCCCCGCACCCCGCCAGGTGATCAGCCAGTACCTGCTGGACAAGTTCGCAGGCTGTGGTGAGCCCCTGGTGGCCGCCTCTGCAGAGGGTAGGGCCAAGGTAAAGTAGGGTAGGGGCCCGGGTGTGGAGGCGGGGGGAGAGAGGGATGACGGCCAGGCTTGTGGGCGGGTGGAGGGGGGGAGGGAGGGAATGGGAATGGGAATGGGCCAGAGGGGGGAGGGTCTCAGGGGCCATGCTTCCCACACACAACCCTCCGCCTCACACCGGGGGCACATACCACAATGCCCCAGTTCACACCACCTAACCACCCAGCTGACGAATCAACCACCTGCCAAACAGCAACCACCCGAATCATCTACCGACCCAAAGCCATCACCCGCTCTCCCCTCCCCCGTCCCCTCCCCTCCCCTTCACAAACCCCGACTGGTTAGTTATCTCTTCCTTACTTCTGGCGTACCACTTTATCCTCCTTGGCATCAGCTTCATTCGTTCGTGGCTCATCTTCCCCTTCCCGGCCCCCCCCTCCGACACCCTCCCCCCAGGCCGCTCTGGCCACCCGCATCCACGATGTGTACATCGTGCCCATCCAGGGGGCTATGGGGGATCCTCCAAGTGACAGCGCCGAGATGAGGGCCAAACAGATCG